GTGGGATCCTCCCGGACCGGGGCACGAACCCGTGTCCCCTGCATCGGCAGGCGGACTCTCAACCACTGCGCCACCAGGGAAGCCCAAGAGCTCTATTCTTTACGACAATGGTTGCCCCCAAAAAACATACACAGAGCCTCCTCCTCACTCATCAGGGTGGAGCAAATATTAGCAGGGCAGCATCAGAAAACATCCAAAAGTAGGAAGGAGAAGAGGGACCCAATTACGCACGATGGAAAGGAGGGGTGTTGAAAATACCTTTTCTTAATTCAAACTATTTATCTCCTAAGGGAATCTGAGTTTCAGTACCCAAACATGGCCAACACAGAAGGGGAGCTGTTTTTCTTACTGTTAGGCATTTTCAGCTCAAAATAAGGACTTGGCAAACATCTTAGAAAATATGGCAGTGGGTGTGAAACGGATGTCACGTTTACCTGCATGATACCCAGCAGGCTTCACCCACCACCCACCCGCACCCCAGGCAGTGGAATCCTCTTCGAGGCCCCGGGTCGGAGTCTGCGATGCCATATGCCCAAATGTGACGGCTCTTTGTAGAAACAAACCAGTTGATCTTCTGGTAGTTTCGCTTAAGGGTGCATGGGAGGCAGCTGGCTATGGTGTGTTTGGCCTCAGCAGGTGCCTTGGGGACTCCTCAATCCTGCCTGGCCGGGGAGGGGTCTGGTGAAGGCACCCCCTCTCCAAACTAGCATCCCCTACTCCCCTAAGCCTGGTTCCTGGGAGAGAGAGGACAGCTCCTTGCTGGAGGAACAGTCACCGTGCAAGGCCATTTCCCTCCCAGTAACTGACTACAGAAATGGGGACCAGAAGGGGAAGGCCCCAGGAGCCTGTTTGCTCAGGCTCGGTTGCTTAGCAACACAAGGGGCCCTGACTCCAGAAGGGATTTTTAAGCTAGGCCAGTCCCTTGGAGGTTTGTGTCTGGCTTGCCTACCCCTTCTTCCGTTCTTACCTTGACTTTGCTTTTCCCCCTGTTATATTTGATAGCATCTAGAAAAATAGATTTGATTTGTCTGGAGGCACCATTTTAAACCTGGTTTTATTGCTTTGCCCAGTGTCTTCCCTTCCATTGGAGACTGTCATCTGGGAGGAGTGAGGAATGAATAGCCGATGGTTCTTTTTCTCAGTTGGCTTAACTCAGGCCCCCAAGCTCATTTCTGAGCCTTTGGGCTCCAGTGAACAGTGCTTGGTCCTTCGCACCGCACACGCACGCACACACACACACGCACGTTGAAATTGCTCCAAGCACGGAGCACTCTGGCTAACAGTTCTGTCCACCCACAACCATGTGGTTGGATTGTATTTTTACTGCCAACTTTGGGCACAAAATGAATGAGGAGACCAGGCTACTCGCCTGGCCAAACCAGGTACAGTGTGCAAGTGAATGGCTGATTGGTTTAGGACAGCACCTGCACTAAAGATGTGTCTTTTGTGGAGCAAATAAAGGATTGGATCATAAGTAAAAGGAGTGGAATTCAAAGCCAAATCTGGTTTCATAAGTGTGAGTTTCTTGAGGTCCGTGTGGGACTTGAGTGTGGATCCTGACTCTCCAGAAATGACTAAAAAGGTTGCAGGGTGCTTGGGGGGACAGAGGAAGGGACTAGGAAGAGAGACAGAGGATGCCTTTGGTGTTTTCCTCTCTTTGATTTTTTTTTTTTTTTTTTGCGGTACGCGGGTCTCTCACTGCTGTGGCCTCTCCCGTTGCGGAGCACAGGCTCTGGACGCGCAGGCTCAGCGGCCATGGCTCACGGACCCAGCCGCTCCACGGCATGTGGGAACCCCTCGGACCGGGGCACGAACCCACGTCCCCTGCATCGGCAGGCGGACTCTCAACCACTGCGCCACCAGGGAAGCCCTCAAATAGGTTTTAACAAGCAACGTGACTTCTATAATGGAAACTGCCACCACCCCCCCACCAATATATAATGTTTTGTGTATTTTGTTAAAATTCCTAAAGCAGACTCTATTTTGTATTTGTTTTGCAGGTGGAGGATGCAATGCTGATGTTTGATAAGACGACCAACAGGCACAGAGGTAAGAACCCCAGTGTGGGGAGGTTGCCCCTTCATCCTCTCCTGCCTCCATCTCTTCTCACCCCCAGTCCTGCAAACAAAAGATACAGTGACTGCTCCAAAATCAGGCAGGTGGAGGTGACGTGTGTTGTGGATCTGTATTAAGAGAGGGCCACGATAGTGTGAAGGGTTGATACTGGACAGTTAAAACACCATTTCCTTTAGGCTTGGGGACTGTCATTTAATTATGCAGCCACGCCCCACACGCGTTCTGATACACTTCTCCAATCCTTGCTTTCTTAGTCCTCGCTGAACCACAGCACTAAGTGGAAATTATTCACAGCAGTTACTCTTGAGTTCTCAATTTGCACTGAAGGGGGGGTGGGGTTGAGAAGCACACTGTCAGTCTAAAGAGCCCCCCCCCCAAAAAAAAAAAGCCTCATCCTAGGTTTATTCGATGTTCGATGTATACAATGAGCACAGACCCGGCAATGCCCTTTTGTGCCTCTTGGATGTTTGGAGGACATCTGCACTTCCTTGTATTTTCTCCTGTGCTTACTGTCCTGCCCATGTTTTGGAAAATGGGTTTCATCTTGGGGTCTAAGAACCCCTGAAATGACACGCGGGATGTTTTATGTTTCTCTTGGGAGAGGCTTTCTAGCTTTGAATAGATTCTCAAAGGGGTCTCTGACCTCTGCCACCTCACCCCACCCTCCAAAAAAAACCACAAACACATTGAAATTATTCCTTTAAACAGAAAATTGGATGACTCTAGAAAATCCTCCCCAGAGGAAGCAGCGTCAAAAGTTATGGTTTAGCGTTCCGTTCTCCGGAAGCTCCTGGTTTCTGGGGTTCCTATTCACGGGGCATTAATGAGCAGAGTTTCTGAAGGGGGGGTGGCAGGAAGCAGTGTTCTAGAGAGAAGGGGCCAGCGATCAGTGTTTCCTTGCCACTTGGATGGCATTTAGATGTTTCTTGTGTTGTTTACATTCTTGCTGTCCCCTGTGATTAGAAGCAGTTACCCAGTGCTGACTGCATGTCTCCCTGTTCTGAGCAGGCAGGCTGAGTGAAAGGGAGGAAGGAGTGGGTGGGAAGCGATGCTTCCAACGGTGGGAGAAGGAGGGGCTGTCCTGAGTGTGCCTGGGGAATCAAGCATCTCATGCATCCACCTACAGCATCCTTAAAAGGGAAAATAGAAGACTGGGGCATCAGAGGTGTTATATGTTGGGGAAGGGATGGGGATGGGGTAGAGGATGAGGAGTTAGGGGGAGGCAAGGAGAGAAAAGAAGAGCTTACAGGTGTGGAATGATTGCCTTTGCTTCTGCAACGCTCTGGAGTGAGAGGAAGGTGGTGCCGGTGACGGGCAATCCTTGACGACCCTTGACCATCGTCTGCATTGCGTCGATCTTTATGGTTTTCCCAGCACTGCTTCCACACGCATCTTCCACCTTGATCTTCACAGCAGCCCCCGGAGGGAAAATCACTTAAGTTCTTTATGCCTCAGTTTATTCATCTGCAAAATGGAGATAATATGGGCACCTCCTTATAGGATTGTTTGGAGAGCGTAGCGCCAAGCACATCAACTGTGCATAAATGTTAGGTATTATTATTATAGCCATCATTATTATTACCATCACCTCCATTTTGTGGATGAGGTAACCACATCTCAGAAGAGGTGCCTTACATCCAGGATCAGAGAAGGGACTCACACCTAGGACAGCTGATTTCAAATTCTGCTTTTTTTTTTTTTTTTTTTTTTTTGCGGTACGCGGGCCTCTCACTGTTGTGGCCTCTCCCATTGCGGAGCACAGGCTCCGGACGCGCAGGCTCAGCGGCCATGGCTCACGGGCCCAGCCGCTCGGCGGCACGTGGGATCTTCCCAGACCGGTTCACGAACCCATGTCCCCTGCATCGGCAGGTGGACTCTCAACCACTGTGCCACCGGGGAAGCCCTCAAATTCTGCTCTTTGTTGTCTCCACGTGCAGCAGGTTTGTTGAGAAGGGTGTTTTCGTCCTTTTATTTTCAGGATGGGCGAGGTCCATCTGAACGTGGCACTGGTGTTCAGTGTTAGAATTCATAATCCTGGAAGATTCCTCAGCGGCTTCTAGGCAGTATTGTTATCATTCTTTTTTGAGTATCAGTGAAAAAGGTATTGTTGATCTCTTGCTCTGTGTCAGGCCCTGTGTTGGAAGAGATGACAGATCATCTCATTGAACCCTCTCAGCTGAGCCAGGAAAGAGGTTCGTCATCTGAGGGACCTGAGAGGGCGGGTCACCCTCTGTGTCAGGTCACTCAGCTGGTAGCTGATAGAGCTGGATTCACACTCAGGACATCAGGCCCAGACACACTGCAGAGGAGGTGCCAGGGAAAGTTCTCCCCTGTTTCTAACGCAGATGCCTCCTGCTGTGGTTGAAGCCTCTTCCCCTTCTCCAAGGGCACTGGGCACAGTGATGGGGTGGGGGTCCCTCTGTGACTGGGTGAGGGAAGTGTTTCCTGTTGTGAGCCTAAGGGAGGTCACCTGTGGCCCAGCACTCAGAGTAGCTTCAGGAACGTGGTCGCTTACTCCCCCAAGTCAGGACTCCCGGTGGCGATGGCAGGATGGAGGGCGGGCAGAGCCCCTGGTGCGTGCACGGCGCTGCCCCCTCCCCCAGCCAAGGCAGGGCCTGCCCCGCATCCTTCTGCCCTGCCCGCCTTTAAGATTCCTGTGGTCAGTGCAGGACCCCTTACATAATTCATGGAGTCAACAACGAGATGAAAGGCAGGGCCTCTTATTCAAAAACTATCCAGAATTTCAAGATGACAGCAGAGCATTCAACCAAGAGTGGAGCCCTTCTGAGCACGGGGTGTATGTGACAGCTCAGGCCGCCCATCCAGGAAGCCAGCCTGAATGGATGCAGCCTGTGGCCGGCCTGATGCTGGGTGGGGCGGGGAAGAGAAGGCAGGAGGGACCGTGTGCCCAGAGGTTTCAACGGGAAGGACCTGACACCCGCTGCCCGTTTGCTCCTGTACAGAAATCTGCTCCCGCTGTCCCACCTGTGTCGGCGGGGACTTTGGCCCATACGTGCTTTCCAGCCCCTCCAAACAGCTGAGGAGGAGTTTCTCTCTGGACGGGGTGCTGAAGCTGGGGTAATACTTCAGCGATCCAGAGCATTAGGGGAGGAAAGAATTTTCTCTAAAGAAAGAACATATCACGAGAGAAGCACAAATCATAGATGTGGAGCCAGCAGGCCTCACAGCCCTGGCCTGATGGAATGTGCACTTGGGATCAGGAGATAAGCACGGGAAAATAAAGTCCTCCTGCAGCCACCTTGCCCCAACCTTTCCTTCACCTCCTCGGCTTCCTGTTTTGCGTTATCTTATCAAGAGGAAAGTGCTGGTGGAGCAGGAGTTGAGGACACCTCTGTGGCTGCCACTGCCGCCAGCTTTCTGCTTAAAGAGGCCCAGACCATTAACCCCTCCGTGTCGTCAGGGCACTTGCTTAGTGCTTTCCGTCAACCTCTAACCCAGCCCCGTTGGGCAGCCTGGGCGGTGACTTGTCCTCTGCCCCAGGCATTTTGAAAACCACCTGTGTGCCCCTGAGCCGTGACCACTGCTGTCAGGGAAAACTCCGTGGCACGGGGCCTGGCTTTCTGGGAGTCAGGCCTCATTGCCATTAGGAGCCAGGGGTCGGGGCAGCATTTCCACTTCCTGCCCCACGGTGGTCCCGTAGGCACAAGGGTGGCCCTCAGTTGCATCTGCACAGCAGTTGACTGCTCCTGTTCATGGAAGCGCCAGCCTGTGTTTCTTCCCACTTTACATCTGCACTCGGACCTCGGTAGCACCGTGGGAAAGAGCCCAGGGGAGAGTCCGGCAGACAGTGAGCCCTCCAGGGAGGTGCATCCTCCATCCTGGAAGCAGGAAGGTCGTTCAGCATCTGACTCTCACAGAAGTGTGGAGTCTTCCCACCTTCGTCCTTAGAGGGACCGCCTTCCAGCTTCTGCTGCCCCTTTGCGTTTAGCCAGGGGCACTTTTCCTAAGCTCTCCGAACCCCTCAGGCTCTGCCTCTGGAAAATACATGAACTGGGACCGCTGAGCTCCAGGACCTAAAGTATGCTTCTGGCTTTTAGCTTTTTAACTGGAAGTATGTTCCAGATTGTTTCCTTTCTCTAACCAGCGGAGGGGGAGCAGTTGTCTCCGGTAGGGGTCCCCGAGATGGGGCTGGGTCTGCAGGAGGTTCATTGGGGATGCTCTTCACGGGGACCGGGCAGAGGGAGATGACGACCTGCGATGCCCTGGGGAGTTCGAAGAGAGGGTGGTCCTTCAGCTGCCCCAGTTATCCCCGTATGTTGATCAGTCATAGGAGGCAGCCCACCTGGGAAGCAGGTGTCATCTTGGGCTTGTACCGGGGAAGTCCTGGAGGGGACCAACAGCTGGGGCCGTCATCCAGCAGCACTCCCAGCGGCTGGGGAAGATGACCTTCATTCCTGAAGGGGGGTCTGACCCACCCCACCCCATCAGAGTGCACACCATAGTGGTACAGGGTTCTGTGTTAACCAGGTTGTGTTAGCACTCCTGGTAGAAACAGCCACTTTCTGAGCACCCCTATACCAGGTGCTTAGCACGTACTGTGGAATCTTTATGAACTGAGCTGCCCAGAGTGGCACACTAGTCCGAGCAGAACTTAGACGTAAACCCACCCTGTCCAACCCTGAGCCTGCGCTCTTAGCCGCTCTGCAAGCACGGGGCTAGGCAGTGGTTTAAAGCAGCAGAGTCGGTGATCTTAAGGACTTGGGCACCTCCTTATTATTAGTCCTTCTCCACACCTATCCTCTTGCTGGACTACAAGGTACCTCCACTTTTCAGATGGAGAAACTAAGGCATGTGGAGTTTTGGAAAGCCGCACAGCAGGTTCCTACAGCCAGCTGGGGAGCTGAGCTACTGGTAGAAGCTAGGGCCTTCCTTGGCCCCGCCCATCACTTCATTTCGTGGCCTCCTCTGAGACCCTTTGTGCCCAAGGACAGAGAGAGAATGGTGGCTTTCCA